AGTTGAAATGGCAACATCCTTCTCTAAATTTTACCCTCGGGTGGCTCACCAAAGGGTGGGTCAACTTGGAAGAGCAACATCCTTCTCTAAATTTTACCCCTGCCCACAAAAGGGTGAGTCAAGTTGAAATGGCAACATCCTTCTCTAAATGTGAAGGCATGAGTGACTAAGTCAGCAAAGAAAGAAGTAAGTAAGTGGCCACGTTAATGAATGAATGAGTGAAAGAATGAATGAATGAATGAATGAATGAATGAAAGAAGGAGTGAGTGAGTCAGTGAGTGAGTCAGTGAGTGAGTCAGTGCGTGAGTGAGTGAATGAGGGAGTGAGTGAAGAGAGAGAGAGTGAGTGAGAGAGTGAGTGAGTGTGAGTGAGTGAGAGTGAGAGTGAGGTTGAGGCAGCACATCCGCGTGTACAGACGAGGCATCTCACGCGCGTGTACAGACGAGTCACCTTGCGCGTGTACAGACGAGGCGCTGACCCTTGTGCTGTCTCGTCAATGGGGTTGCCTGTACCGTCGCATCTACATACACCGACGGAACAAAAGAGCGTCAGAAGCTTCCAAGTTGATCATAAAGATCCTTTCCAAAGTCGTGAATCACATCGATAATACTGGTGGAGCCCTCATCGGCTGAAATCACAGGCTGAGCCTGACAGGGACCTTAGGACGGCCTCAGTGGATAGGCCCAAGCAAGCAAGATAGCACCTTCAAAACGGTCCAAATGGCGCAAGTAGTGGTTTAGAGCTGCTTTTTAGAGCGGACTATTTCTATGTCTATGTTTAGCGGATGGGTCCCACTGAGCCGTTGGTCTACAATTGCATCTGTAGCCGTAGCCTGTAGCCGTTGCAATGAGGATCCAGGGCAACCAGGCAACTCAGTCCTTAAGGATCAACGGCAGCACACCAGAGATCCCCATGGGAATGCCCTGGCTAGCAAAATGGTGGCGGATGGATCCACCTATGGCAATACGGACATTCGGATCAAAAGAGATGTAGTGTCTCATTCATACCATTTCATACATCATATATACGTAGCATATTTCGTAGTTTCTTGGTGGGTCCTACTCAACCTGTCACCAAATTTGAGGACCTTTGTCATCATAATCCAACCATTTCAAGCATCCAAACGCACAACATGCCTTTTCTAGCGCAATTGCTCTGCAAGAGTATGAGGGATCGGCAATGCCAGCAACCCCCAAACTAAGGGCCCTGTCTGACACAAAGTGCCTGAAGGGTGTAGAGCGCCAATAGCAAGCCTGGGCCCAGCATGCCAGCAACTCATGTTTGCACATGTTTGCCACTTCCCAATATGCTTCTGTAAAACATCTCCAAGCGAGCTTGCTTCCACAAAACATGGACGCTTGTCTTGGAAGTAACTAAGTGATACCCCGCTGAACCATCCAACTCAACTAAGGCATCGTAAACCAAAACAAAAACACCGCGATTATTACACTAACAAGTCTGCGAGCCCGAAGACTTTGCGATTTATCTAAGCTAAGCCGTGTCTCCAAGGAACAAATGTTGAGATACTCGCCTGTGAGGTCGGCAACCTGCCGCAAGACGAGCAAGTCATGTGGAGCACAGACGCTACTAGGGGCTCCTGGCATCGCTACTAGGAGCAAGGACGCTACTAGGGGCTCCTGGCCATAAACAGGGACCACCACTATCTGTTGTTCGTTACGACGGAAAACAACTTAGTCGAGCCTTATCCAGTCCCAATGGTTGTATTGTAGCTTTTGCGAATCTGGATTCATGTAACGATGTGTATATTATAAAGAAGGAAGGTCATATATGCATGGCTCAAATGTCCTGTCTTCGTATGTCTTCGCGCAACCCAGTTGATTGACACAAAGTTCAGTTCTTGAATTTTCTTCCAGGCTGAAACCAGGGCCCAGTGCTGATATCTTCCTGGGTAGAGTCCAAGTCACAAGTCCTCAAAGTCCAAACATAAACTCTCTGGCCGAACAATTGTAGGACACCGCGACCTCGCGCCTCATTCTCGGACTTCTCTTCGCAAGCTTTCCCATTCTCCTGGCAAGCTGCATAAAAGCAACAAAAACACACAAAGCAGTACAAGGTGAAGTCCTTTGGTGGCATGTGCGAGTTTGTCTCGTGGCTCTCTGCCGCTGATGTTTCGAATGAAGCGTCTGAGCATGTCTTCGCATCCTTCTCTGTTGGCATTGAGAATTTGGGATCAGGATGACTGAGGTTGAATCCTCTTACCCATCCTATCATTCAAGGAACTACAAGACCTAAAGCAGGCGCGCCGACCTTTTGCAAGATGAAGGGACAAGCCATCCATGCAGGACCCTGCCAACAGGCTTCCCTTCTCCCCTCCCTCTTCCTTAGCTGCTCCACAGCTCAGGGTGGGCGGGGGGGAAAAGCTGTGTGGCACAGCACCAAACTTTAAACCAGGGAGCAGCTGCTCCTGTTACCAGCAAGCTGTCCAAACTGACAAGGTACACATTAATGCTAGGTGGGAGAGAGGGTTGGTGTTCCTGCCTACCCCGACCAACCGCGAACACCGGTACCTCTCACCCATCCTATCATTCAAGGAACTACAAGACCTAAAGCAGGCGCGCCGACCTTTTGCAAGATGAAGGGACAAGCCATCCATGCAGGACCCTGCCAACAGGCATCCCTTCTCCCCAAACTTGCCTGTTGGTACCCTTCTGCACAGGCGCGCCTACTAAACCCCCAAAAAATTGAGTGACTGTGCAGCCTACGCAACCGCAACTACGGGAACTGACAACTAAGGACGGTCGAATTCAATTAGCGAACTTGGTCGCTGCATGAACTTGTACCACGGGGCCAGCACGTCCGCCAAGGTTATACGCACCCGATTTGCTTCAGGGAACTTGGCCCTCATGACCAAGGGCAATGGCTTCGCTTCTGGGTGGTTCAAACGACTTAGCAAGTCAGCCTCTTCATTCCGCTCGCCTGCCACATGGGACAGCTCCAAGGCCACTTGTAGCTCCAAAGCCGCAAAAGCCAAGGCCATCAGCGCAAAGCACAGCGGCGGCGCAGTGGACATGCCCTTACTGCAAGCCGCGACCACTGGCATGTTGTCGCCATATTGTCGCAAGCGCACACAATGCAACTGAGCGGTCCCATCAACCTTTGCGCGAGCCAGAACCAGAGCCAGCTGCGCTAAAAGCTCCAGAGCACATATAGCTGCTTGCATCTTTTCCGGCCACTGCCAAAGATCGGGTAATTGGCCCTGCTCAATTTCCAGGTGGAACCAAAACAGTTTGTTTGACTCCAAGGCCCGAAACCAACCTCCTATGCCTGAGAGAGCAGACCCGGCCCAGGCATCCGCCGCAGCGTCCTCAGCCACCCTCTCACCGGCCCAAGAGAAACTGTTGGTGCAAAACACCCGCTGTAAAGTGTGCAGCGAGGACAACGAAACCGGATCCAGATCCACACAGGGAGTCCATGCCGAAAACCGGACCCAAATCTTGCCCGTGATCGTTCGGGGCTGTTGCAGCAGACGACGCGCATTGATGACACAATCAACTGTCTTGCCACCCACAGCGTGCAAACGCCACCCCTTTTGAATATCGCTTCTTGCAGCAGCAGACTGGACTACCAGCCCATCCCCCAGGATCATGGCCAGCTCTTCTAATTGCCCCAAACTCAGACACTGCAAGCGTGACCCTGGCTTGTTCAGCTTGATAAAGAGAGGCGCAAGGAAAGCTCGCAATGCGAGTCGCACTTGAGTCGCCCAAAGCAGAAACCCCAAGAGCTGAGAGAGCTTCTTCCGAGGTACCCGTCGCGGATGCAACCTCCACCAAGCCAGCTCCCTAAGCACCTTCGCTTGCTTGCTTTCCGGCAAGGACGCCCAGAAACCAGAATGCAAGGACAACTGCCACCCCAAATAGGTCAACTCGGAACCCAATGCCAGTTTACGCCAGGACAATGGCACAGCCAAGATTTGCAAAATAGCCAGCACCAGCACCACCAGCATCGCGAATGCCCCCCGCGGCAGGAGGAATAGAAAATCATCCACATAAACCGCCCCCAGGTGGCGGTGGCGCACCAGGAAGTGTATGGTTCGTAACAGCAAAGCAGAAAGCCTCGACCACCAATACGCCGACCACGCGGCCCCGAAGTGGTTGACCACGTATGCGTAGAATTCTCCTTCAAGTGAGAAAACCGAAAAGCCCACATCTTCAGCAGCCGTACGAATAGATTTGTGAGCCCCCTTGATGTCCACGCTGAACAACACCCACTCTTTGGGGTCCACCGCCACACCTCGCCAAGCGGCGAACCTGTTCAGCGCAGCAGTGAACAAGAAAAGCGAAGGCACCTCCGCCCGCTCAAGGAATCTGGCCGCCGGGCTCGCCCCACTGGCGCGGGAGTCGCCAATGAGCCGGTCTTCTTTTCCAGCGCACGTCACGAGCCCCAGCTTGCCAATTGCCAAGGAACCATCCGGGAATCGCTGTTGTACTGCCGACATCCCCCTGCAATGTGTACCAAATAACCCAGGTCCACTTCTTTCTGGACTAAAGCGCGAACTTTCGCCGGCTCCTGTTCTGCAGAAATGTGATTGGAGGTGCACCAGAACAAATCGCAAGCCTCAGCCACCTCGTCACCCCATTTGCCAGAACAAGGTGGCCAAACACCAGATGCAGGGATTGGCTCCCGTACTCCCGTAGGCGCCCCGCGCCGAAGCACTTTGCACAGAGCAACATCTGGATCATCCATCCGCAGAGCCAAACTTTCCAGCAGATTGAACTTGTACGGAGTGAGTTCAAAGGACTCCAATGCCCAAGCCGAATCGATACCCAAGGCTGAACAAACGGCCACTTGCATCAAATGCACCTCTGAGTCAGTGAAGAACGGATTCTCCAAGGTCTTGCCACACAGCGCGGCCGCCCGGCAGCAAGCATCTTTCGGCATGGAAGACCAAATTGCTTTGCGCACCGCAGACAATGGGTCCCGCAAAGCTCCAGGCGGAGGCACTTGCCAATCCAGAGTGCTCGACAGACCACCCCCGTCTTTCAGAAAGATGCGGTGATAATCTGCAGGAGAACCACTCTCAGGCTGCTGAGCCACCCCCGCCACGTCAGCCTGGCCCGCATCTTGATGGAAAGCCGCAGGCTGCCAGGGTGGAGCGCTACCAGCTGGCAGCGAGGGGCAGCCTGCAGGGTCTGCTGCTACCTCGCTCCCGCATTGCTCCATGATGGGAGCGAGGCAACGCCCCTAATCCTCTTTCGCCAGTTGCAAAAGCTTCGCGCACGCATGCCGCCCATGTTCAGCAGAGCCGCAATGATCACAGTGATGCTTAAACTTGCATTCGTCGCGCATAGTGCATTTGCCTTCTTGGAAGCTCCAACAAAGACCCTTGGCACGCTTCACCCCTTTGTCTTTACCCTTGCCCTTGCCTTGGCCACGACCCTTGCCAGCACTTGTAGTTTCAGCACCATACGGGGAAGGACGCCTTCCCTTCTCTGCTGGAGCTTTGAGGCGCGGCTGCAGCCACAATCGCAAACTGTCTCGCACCACAACTGCCTCATAAATAGCCCTGTCCAAATCATTGCCCTTGCTCATCAAGTCCTGCAGTTGACGGCAGAGTTCCGCATCGGCAAACTCGGCCTCTGCAAGGTTTGGGGGGCGCATCCCCACATCAGCCAACCCAACGCGATGATACAGCAGCATGAACTTGTTGACAAGCATTTTGCCCGACGACAAATGGCACCAATCCAGCAACGCCCACGCCACACTGCGCAGCGACAAAACCTTCTGCACAGCGAAGGGGGAGGAAGACACGTCAGCTTCCAAAGCGTCAACATGTCCTGTCACATCCGCCAAAAGGCCCAGGAGAGACTTCTCCTTAGAGTGGGAGCAGGACTGGCGGGAACGATCGTATTGCACAACGCTCAAGATTTGCTTCCAAGGGATAAACTTCAACTCCCCATTCCGCTTTTGGAGCGCGATCTGCTGCAGCAATTGCTTGCAGGGCTGCCCATCCGCTTCCAAGCACTCTGATGGGTAGTCCGCCGCAAACTTCTTCCACAACTCTGCCAACTGAGCCGCATCCAGCTGCGGGCCCACTGAGAGACCCAACAAGCTCGTCCCTGCTGCATCCGAAACCACTGGCGCCTGATCACCAGCGTCATTGCATACTTTTGTGCACATAGCCAAGAGACGCCGCAAGCGGCCCGCTTCCAAGCACTGAAGCAAAGAAGGCGCACAGCCCTTATCTACCCCAGCCGCCTGCAGCACAGCATCAATCGTCTCCTCAGCCCCGCTCTGCAGAGTCCAGTGCAACTCCGCGGCAGTCGCGAAGCCCCGCGCAGCCAACTCCTCCTGAACTTTGCTACACAGCCCCACCTTTTGCAACAAGTCCTGAAATTTCTTCTTGCAGTCCATCGCGGACATCGCGCCACAAAGACAAAGGAAGGCAAGACAACCAAACAACGAAGGCCAACGCCCAAACAAACACTCCCAGCGCACTTGCTGAAAGGAATTTAGGGAGACACCTCCCACACCGAAACGACGGACGAGCGTCCTCCAGGTGACCCACGTCACCGGATCTCCCCGAGATCCAGATCTCCCACGAGATCACAGCAGACCCACGTCTGCAAGATGACCCACGTCATCACAGCAAACCCACGTTTGCAAGAGGACACTTCCTCGAAGGTGACCCACGTCACCGGATCTCCCCAGAGATCCAGATCTCCCACGAGATCTCAGCAGACCCACGTCTGCAAGATGACCCACGTCATCACCGCAAACCCACGTTTGCAAGGGGACCCCCGACCTGGAAGGTGACCCACCACCGATCTCCCTCGAGATCCCGATCTCCCTCGAGATCCCCACGACCCCACGGCCGCGCAAAATCGCGCACACAGCGCCCCACTTTTTGTCACTCCGCACCCAAGAGCAAACCACATGCAGCATGGCTACAAGGTATGAATGCTCCAATGCTAGTTGACGGGTCTTCCGATCGCACCTCCCAATGTGGCTCATCCACCGACTGAGATGGGGCACACGCCCGCCGAAGCGAACCACCGGCTAGAATCACAGCGTGAAACTTGTGAGAGCGGCAATTCATCAGAAACTTTCCGCCAACAAGCTGCGCTGGGCCAGGCACCGCGTCCTCTTCGTCGTCCGCCTCCAACAGTTCGCCGCACACGCTGCTCACCGAGGACTCCGCCTCCGACTCATTCTCATCCGACTCAGACTCTGTGTCCGAAGTGCCCGAGGCACAGATGTCCAGACCCAAGGGAGCCCCCCGCAGTGCCGATGGCGCCGGCGCCAGAGGTTCCTCAGGGCAAGGCTGGCGTGCACCTCTTGCTTGAGGGGTCAAGGGGCACCAACCGCCACGTATTGCCCGAGCCACCACCAGCTGCGCCCTCAGCGCAGGCAGCACGTCGTCACGCCCATACTTTTGAACCATAGCCTCACCGGCTTCGCGCGCCCGATGATGCCCCCACAAGCGGCGGCAGCGCCCATCGATGTCTAACTGCAAGCCCCAACAAAGCCCAGTCACTTTTAGACTGTGCAAAGTATAAATGGAAACCGCATGCTCTGGGACTTTGGCCACACACACGAGCAAACGCCTCAACTGAGCTTGTGTATAAGTAAACGAGGCCCGGCCCCCAAAGGGCCCAGGGATCAGGAAATCGACCTCTCCAAGCTTTTCTCGCAGCAATTTGACAGCTGCCGTCCAATCATCATAGATACCCACAGTAAGGCAGCCCCAAGGCATAGAAGTCTTGGAGGACTTTGTCTTCCAACATCTGCAGCGCACAATACCCTGCACGAAGTCCATCTCAGGCACTGCCACGCGCTGGGCATCAGAAAAACGAAGCGCACCCCAAAGCATAACCAAGAACACCACACACATCAGTGTAGGTGGATCCAGCTGTGGACCCGAAGCCAAGGCAGCGAGCACTGCAGCCTCCATTCGCGCCACGGCATACAAAGGCAAAGGTACAGCTTCCTTGCGTTCCTTACTCTCTGCCGCATCGCCCGAACAAGCAACCACGACAGGATTTGCTAAGGTAGCCAGCAAGCGATCCCAGCCCAGCAAGCCCGCCACGAACTTCAGGGAACGCCAGGGGGCGATCGCGCTACGGTGCTTCGCCTGTACGCAATCAAAGAAATTGACCAACAAGTCTGCACGCGCGAACGGCGTCTCCAGGTCAGTGCCGTGGATGAAGTCCACCCATAATTTGAAACCCGGCAGATCCGCCGCAAGGTACCGGCTGCCTTTGTCCGCAAAACTCTAATCAAGCAACCCTCGGCCAACTCGCCCAAGTCTTGGAAGAACGGCGAGGAGTTCAAAAGTGGCTGCAAGTAGCCAACCCAAGTTCTTGCGAGCGCTTGCCACTGTTCTTCCTCCCAGGATTTGGCGCGGCAGCCCGGCTTGACCCAAAAACTACGGGCTGCACCACTCCTAACAACATCAGCGCTCACTTCAGCGAGAATGGCCACCGCTTGCTTGGCCGCAAAGTCATCGCAACCTCTCACAGGGCCTGGCAAACCACCCTTGCACAGGCGAAGAGCTGGTAGCTTCAAGGGAAGCTCGATGCCAGCTGGTAACGGCTTCGCGCAGCCCTCAAGCAAGTATTTCTCCCTGTCCAAGCCCAAGTTCGGCCTCGGCCTAGGCCTCGCCAACGCAAAAGCTGGGTAGGGCTCTACGGCCTCCCAGTGTGGCCTCGGTCGGCCTGCTCCATAGAGCGGCATGCCAACCAAGACGCCAGCAAAAGGAAAGGAAGCCCAAAACAAAAGCTGTGTGGCACAGCACCAAACTTTAAACCAGGGAGCAGCTGCTCCTGTTACCAGCAAGCTGTCCAAACTGACAAGGTACACATTAATGCTAGGTGGGAGAGAGGGTTGGTGTTCCTGCCTACCCCGACCAACCGCGAACACCGGTACTAGCAAATTCAAACACAGGGGACTTCGGTGAAGGTGGGTTCGACTGCGGCAAACCCTCTTGAAAGTAACACTGAACTCTTCCTCCACGCCACGAGGTACCAAAGACAACCGAAGAACTACTGTTGTGTAGGTGATCGAACGCTGAAAACTGACAGACAGAGCCACAGGAACAAATTTAACAAAGTCATCCAATTGAAGAGGAGTCTCGAAGTCTCGGAGTCTTTGGTATTCCTGACAGCTGACAAAGCTTTCTTACGCCTCAGCCAATGACTCCAACTCCCTGGCATCAGGAGTTCCCCGGAGCGTCATCCGCAACCTGCATCATGGGAGTTGGGGTGTCATTGCAGGAAGATCTAACCGGTTCAATTCGCTCCAACAAAAAGTAGAAGGTGATGAACAAGCCCATAGGGAATAGGAGTGCATAGGTTGAGAAGAAGGATTTTGACTGGAAGCTCTCCCCTCTGCCAAACTCCCTCCCTCTGCCGCCTTCTTATGCCATCAGAGGATCCCATGGAATCGAACGCAGGCGTCACAGTGGCATCTGTGCATACTGATAATGCTGCTAGGGACTAAAAGGGCCGTGGCTTCAGCCAAGTTACCATTGTAGTTGCTTCTGTTGCGTTCAGTCTTGCAAGAGTCGTTCCTGTCATGTCATATACTATCGAGCTTCAGTCGCTGCGTTGCATGGATGATTGGAGGACAGGGAGAAGACGCAATGGCTGAGCACTTTGGCGAAGTGGGTAGTTGGCACTCCGTGGTCTTGAAGCGGTCACCTCAAGTAAGGGTTTTATGAATATTCGAACATACTTGAGGCTTAGGGACCTTGCCTGTCTACTTCCAAGACAGCTGCGGAAGATTAAGGACTGTGCGTCTATCCACATTGTATCACATTGTCACCCTTCCGGACACGTAGTCAATAAGGCCATTTAAAGCCTTATTGTGGTACGAGAAGTGTACACGCGATACAAGCTGCAACATCGCAATAGACCTTGGGCTACTTCTTTCCCAGAGACCTGTGCCAGCCACTTTTTGTTTACCTTACGTTCCGGCCACTGTAGCGGGCAAGGTGCACAGCCTGTGTGATTCCTATTTATACCTATTCCTATTTACGTTCCGGCCTGTGCTACCCCAAGCTTCCCAAAACAGGTGGTTCTCAATTGAAACTCTACAAATGGGATCTTCAGTGTGACATGCACTATGTTGCCACATAAAACCCTTTTGGCAACTTTACGGATACTGTTCTGATCCATTCTGTACCTAGGACCAAGCCTAATGTACCCGAGTCCATGATTTGAAGGGCGGTGGGCGCGTGGATCGCAAGTTGGCGTCCGGTTTTGGCGCCCCAATTGGTGGTCGCACAAGCTTGGCGTCCATTTGGAGGTGATGTTTGGTGCACAGTCGCCTTTCTAGGGGGTCGTCCTTTTTGGTTTGCCAATGTGAGCGCAATCTCTTGGCAGCGACGCAAGTCTTCCTGTTGGCTCACAAGATATCGCTATGCCCGGCAATACGGCTATGCCGCTATTGGCTATGCCCTTTCATTAAGCACTTTGCGTATTCTTGAAATTTTGGGTGACCATTTTGGGACCCCATAGTTCAACATGTTGGTTGGCGAAGAAACGACAATCCAAGCTCCAGCCTAGCAGCTAGCTTTGTCGGCAACCTGACCAAACATCGAGCCAGCAGAAGTGTAGCTTGGTCACTCCGTCCTTACTGGCCGCAATTGCCTGCAAGGTAAAGGACGCTACTAGGGGCTCCTGGTCTCACTACTAGGAGCATGGATGCTACTAGGAGCAAAGGGCATCGCTACTAGGAGCAAGGACGCTAAACGAGCTTGTGTAGGTAGACCACAAGCCTGGTAGCCTGGCAGCTGAGTCTTGTGATCGGATACATGAGCAACATCACAGCTCTGTCCGCTGACGAGCACAGGACCTTGCCACACAGAACAAGAGATGCAATTGTCACGGGTTTGTGTCTTTGTATACAAAGTTGCGCAAAAGCACCGATGACCAGTTCGGTGTCTCTCTCAAAAAAAAACCTATCGCACGAAAAGCTGTCACCAACCTCCAGTGAACAGGGCCCACAAATGTCACAGAGGTGTTTACAAGCCCTCCCAGGCCCAAAGATGTCTCCCCCAGGCGTCCAATTACAAAAGAGAAACAAATTACTTCTGCCACACACTCCTTAAGCAGCTGGAGCCATGGTTTCGTTTTCCAACGATATCGGCCATATGACATCATTATGACTCTGGGGTCCCGCTGGTCGGGCCACCAAACTCATCTCTCTGATCACCACAGGTCAGCGCAACAAATCGGTCCTGGAACTCCGCCCAAACTCTCAGTGCTCCCAGTGACCCAGTGGCATTCAGCGGCCATTGAATTCTTCGAGTCGCTCTTGGATCGGCACGATGCTTTACATGCAGACGCACGCGATCATCTTTTGATTGCGCCTATACTTGAGCCTTCCCTTTAGGAAGGCAGTCGAATTGTTCCCAAAACTTTACTTGTCCACTACACTCACCAGCTGTGTGAGGTTTATACTGTAGTATTATTATACTGTGCAATAATGACATATGTGTGTATATGTAAATATAATACATATATATATATATATGCAATATAGATTGTAGATTAATAGAATACCTGAGAATCACCCTGCAGTGAAGGCTTTTCGCTGGGCCTTCCCTTTGGGCTTTGGGGAGGGGATCGGACCGGGTCTCAGACTGGGCCACATGCTCTCACAAAGCCTGGCAGAGATAGAGTGCCACGTGAGAAGCGAAAAAGCAAGGAAGAAACACGGGTGGCAAGCAAAGCAGAAAGCTCAATCTCTGATATCATCGCTGGTTGTAATAGGTCACACAAAAGTTCACTCAAAGAATTGTGGGGCTCCATGCGGTTCCCAACGCTAGCGCAGCGGCAGAGCTGCGATTCAAAGCCACTGCAGAATCACATCGCAGATTCACTCTTCCAGTTCAGAAAGGCACTGCACAGCGTGTGTGTGTGTGTGTGTGAATTTTGGCAACGAGGAGATTATAATCAGGAGCTGGGTTTGGCGTTCTGTTCTACCTTTGGTTCCAAAGAACATGTCGATTCGAGAGTGAAATAGGCAAAGCAGTCTGTCCCGGCATGATTGATCCGCAGCTCTACATTGCGTCGCCCAACACAAGTCTTGCTGCGTTGAAAGCTGGACATGGCAAGGCAAAGCACCCGCCTAGAAAAGTTCTTGCAGTTTAATGTGGAGATCTGATATTTGAGTTATTTGATTTTATTGGGTTTCATTGGCTCCTGGGTGAAAGCCCTGGCATTCTTTCTCTGAGCCCAGCTCGAAACGCCTGCAATGTCTTGAGCAAGTCAGAGCATTTGCAATGCTTTCAGCCTGGCCTCAGACCAAATCAGAACGTGGCTCCTTCGAGTCATGACTTCAAACATCGCATAGGGAATCGTTTCACCCGTAGTAACAATAAAGCTTTCTAGTAACTAGAAGCTACTAGGTGGAGGCCATTGCTGTTAGGTTGGAGGCCATCGCTACTAGTAACAATAAAGCTTTCTAGAAGCATTCTAGTCACTTTCCTTTTTAATGTCTTTGTTTTGGCATGTCGTTCAAACATCGCATATCAGGGAAGTCCAAAGGAGCACATCGTGGCAAGCGGCCAATGCTGAGGACAATGCTGGCCGTTCTGGGACTACTCAATCCGACTCAAACGAAGATGTCTGGCTTTCCAGTTCAGTCCACGACAATTTAGTCCAATTCTATTGGTCTGCACAAGGACAGGGTCCAAATTGAGGCCTATCAGGCCGACAAAGGCAAGACAAAGATTTCCCGCTGCCTTCACACTAGCAGCCGCTGCCACCGACCAATTGCAAGCCTCGTTGAACATTCAGCAACTTCGTTGGGTTGGATCATTTGCGCACCTCACCTTTTAAACGACAATGAAACACCGAACTCGCGCTTGGAAATTCATCAGATCATGATCAAACAGTCTGGGACCAGGAGCCAACCAAAAACAACGAAGACAGTTTCATCAACCCAGCACAAAAAGGCCCCGCAGTATCGCAAGAGGCCTGCCGAGATGCCAAGGGTCAAGGTGACTTGACTACATCATTGCTTGCTGTCCTTTCTCAAAACACAACATGCACTAAGCACTGTTTCCAGAACTTTCACGGCTGAAAGCCAGAACCAAGGAGCAACGTTTGTGTCACAAGGAGCAATGTTTCGTACCATCGTACCATTGCACAGACTCTCAGATTCGGGCATGCCGTCTCGGGGATCATCGTCATGAAGTTCACCTCGAACCGGGGACGAGCCGGGCCCCGCAGCGGGGCTACGGGTCGAAGCTTCTCACCCGTCCCGGTGCTTAGCACTTATTCTCTGGGTATGATTCGAGTGTAGCATGAAGGTGCATACAAGTCCTTCTCTGTTGAAGCTTCCTTTGGTACCTCGGTTTAGTTTGTGCAGTGGGAATTCTGCAAATCGAGCCTGTCACTGTCTCAATCAGACCAACAAAAATCTAGATTCCAACAAGGAAGATTAAGATGTATCTGCCACAGCTAAAACCCCACCTGGGAAATGAAAAAGGAAGGGTTCCTATCATGATACTGCAATCCTAACCAAGCCAGGGAGTTGAAAAACTTTCTGACTTGCTTTGGATGGACTGTATAAGTTAAAGCTGTGCCAACGATGTCTGTGAAAAAGGATCGCCTTTGGGCTCTCAGGACTTGGTGTTCACACTTCTGCTGCTTGCAGCATTGTGCAGTCACATTTTGTCAGGAACCCGACACACTTAAAGATAAGAAAGTCTTCTGGGCACCCAA